TTTTTTTTTTTTTTTTTTTTAGCAGTGAAGTCATTTACTGGTTGTTTATTTTTTTGGTACAACCACGAAATAGTGGGATATTGAATATGGGAGGCTCTGATTGTCTTGGGTTTCAGCTTAACATTCCATAGATGGGGTAGTTTTTATATACTCTAAAAACAAGCATCCTAAGTGGCAATTTGGAGTCAGTCATGCATTTAATATGTCTTGAACATTTTAAATTATACTTCTATTACCATGTTGTTTTTGGCAGAATTGTTTCCTAAAGAAAACCACTCCTTGATCTTGGCTCTCCCTGTCAGAATTTTGTGAATTCTGTAACATTCTTGGTCATGGTAGTCCAGTTTCCTAGTAACTTTGTTAATGTGCTGTGCAAGATTAAAAACTTGAGTATGTAGTATATCAAATTGTGAATTAATGGGACTTAATGTAACAGCATATCAATATTTGAAGATATTCGTACTTGATACACTGTTAAGGAAAGTTTGGCTCCAAATTTTAAGCTGGAGGGTCACTGGCATAACTTAGAAAAGAATCACAAGTACATGATTTTTTAGATTTTTGGTACATACATCGAGAAGTGTATACAAGTTGAATTGTCGGTACTGATCCTCAGAACAACCAATAAAAACTGAATTATGAAAGAAAAAAATGAAATTGTCTGTAGTAGTTTTATTGAATTTTGAAAATGTCATCTCTTCATCTTCCTCTTTGTCCAATTTTAGCAGCTATCAACCCATCTTTGGATATAGTTGCTACACAATTTCATAGCCTGCATAACAGCAGGTCACTTTAATGAGAGCAAACATCTAAGCCAAGATAAAGTGGTTGTATGTTGGTCTACTAGCAACGAAATACATCCAATGGCAGCAACTCTTAGGAAAAGCTGGTTAGAATACAAAAATGGCTCAAGTTACTTTGTACATGATGAAGCCCAAATGGGAAATCTGAACTTCTCTCTGCTCATTTTCCTTCTTTCCTCTCCCTTCCTCAAAGTTGAGTATTTCTTGACAATGAGTGAAACATCAGAGGATTTAGAAGACTTTTGTTTGAAAACTAAGCCAAACTGAACGATTTACATACTTAATTTTGACAGGTGCACCTGCATTTATCTTTTGGTTGAGAATGCCAGGAAATTCTATCCAACCAAATAAAGTAAATCCTGTAATTTTAGGTTCCAGTGCAGGTGAGTCATATTTAAACAAAACTTGTTTGTTAAACATATGCCCAACTGAAAGTTGAGGAAAATAGAAGGGCTCCTATAAGATAGGAATTTTAAATGACAGTGCACTAAGTTCTGCCACATATCTGTATAGGCTACCCATTCACCTTCCAAATCATAGTTTACCTTGCCCCTTTTATGCTATATATGAACACTATCTGCCATTCCAAAATATATATGTTTTAGCCTTGAAAGTTTGTGGCAAGTGGCACTCTCCACTTGTGGAGAGGAAGTGTTCCATAGCTGTCATGGTCTGTGCATATGAAAACTTAGGTGAGTGAGGATACTCCATAGGACAGTCATCTGAATTATTGGGACCCCACACAGTTAAATTTTACTTTTATTTGGGTCTGTGATTAACTCTTGAATTCGTCACAAAGGGTATACCAAAATTTAGTCTTCGAAGAAAATATTGTGTATGTTTTCGATTGCCTGCCACGTGCCAGAAGATACTGTAGACCTCTCAAAATTAGATCACATACTTTTCAAAGCTGTAAGAGGGTAATATGACCGGTTCATGCATGGTGAAGAACTGATTACTCAGTAAAAATGGTGAATAAAAATTCCAGCAGACATGCAATAACCTTGAATGGATGCTCTGAGAGAAATAGCAGACATTTAATTAACTCATCTTTCCCATCAAAAGCTATTGTAAACATCATGATTAATGAGAAAGATCTGTAAGTTGGGGCTCTGTTCGTCACTCTAAAAACAAAAGTTCCAAGTTTCCAAGTGAGGGGCTTCACAGATTTTGTATTACCTTGTACTTTTAGTTCCTTTGCCTGGCACTTAGCAGGCAGTCCCAAGTATAGCAAAATGTTTTCTTTAAACGCTGCACCGCAGGTTTCCTTTCTTGAAGACTTCCTCTAAGATCTATTAATGTTCTCCTTGACCATTATTTCCTAAAAGGATATTGCTTTTGACTCTTTCATTAAAGCTCCCTAGGGTTCCACATGACAGTGTGGTCTCCCTTACTGCAATGAGCTTTAGTTGGAACTTTTTAACTAAGGTTGTGTTTCTGCCTGGAGGGTATCAACACAATTATGGGACCTTCTACCTTAACTGACAAGATCGTCTAGGCTAGAAAGAAAATTGATGAGAAATTGCAGTTGTTTTTAAAAATTTTTTTACTGTTTATTTATTTTCGACAAAGAGAAAAAAACAGAGCATGAGTGGGAAAGGGTCAGAGAGAGAGGGAGACACAGAATGTGAAGCAGGCTCCAGGCTCTGAACTGTCAGCACAGAGCCCGATGTGGGGGCTCAAAGTCATGAGCTGTGAGATTATGACCTGAGCCAAAGTCGGACACTGAAACAACTGAGCCATCCAGGTGCCCCAAGAAATTACATTTATTTGTTATTTTATTTTACAAATAAATAAAAGCAAATCAGACAATATACTGTAGTGTACAGAAAAGACTTTTAATATATTCAAATGATAATTTACTCATATTATATATATATATACACACACACACACACACACACACACACACACACACACACACATATACTTATTACTACAATGAGAAAAGGTTTATAGAAAGGGGTTTTTGTTTGATTTTTCTTTTAAGGGATAAATGTGCTTAGGTTTCTTTTAGATAAAGTATGCTTTGATAATAGTGGAATATATTCAACATCTAGTCAATAACCAACCAAAGAAATATGGTCATGCTACCTCCAAAGGCAAAGACACCTGGCAAATCTTAATTATGCCACAAAAATCCAGGGGGTTATGTAAAAGAATTAAGGCATTTGGGGATTTCTCAAGTTCCAGATAACCACACAGAAAATGCAAGTCATGAGCTAAAGGATAATAATGCTAGCAAACAATTATGTTTCTATGTACCAGCTACTACACACACTTTATATATGACAGTACCACATATCCACTGCACTAGCCAATAAATGAGTTCAATTCAGTCACTGTAAATCATTAGATTGTGACTGTTCCTTGTTTCATGGCTTCAGGCAAATAACCAGAGATACAGCAACAGAAATGTGAGTTCTCAGTTTTGGCAACTACTCAAAACAGTTTTTAGGACATTAGATGCTAACAGATCTATAAGGCTAATTTTAAGTGTGTATTGGAAATACATCCTGAAGAAGACTCACCCTTTGCAATATCATCACAAGTAACAGTTTTATAAATTCATAGGCATTAAATTAATATGGAACAGTCTAAAAAAAAAAAAAAACCTCATTAAGAGGCATCCAGTCTCTTATAGGCTTCTTCAATGAAAGTTAACATATTCTTCATCTGGGGTGAATTATGGAGAACATCCAAGTCCTTCAGAAGAGCATTATGGTTTGGAATTAACGTCAGAATTTCTTTCTGTGGGTATAACAGAATTAGTTTAAAATTAAAAAAAAAATTGAGATATAATTGACATAGAACATTAATTTCAGGTATACAACACAATGATGTAGTATTTGTATATTCTGCAAAACGATCACCACAATGAGTCTAGTTAACAATTATCACCATACATAGCTACAAATTCTTCCTGTGATGTGAACTTCTAAGATTTACTCTCTTAGGAACTTTCAAATATACAGTACAGTATTATTGACTAGTTACTGTATTCTACATTATATCCTCACATTGATTTCATAACTGGAAGTTTATACTTTTTGACCATATTCACCCATATAATTAGTTTTTAACCTTTTATTATAAGAAATGTCAATTATGTTAGAGAAAATGGTACAAAGCCTCATATATCCATCATCCAAACTTCAGTACTCATCAACTTATTTCTGTTCTTTCAAATTTGTATTATTCTGTTTTCCCTCTGCCCATTTCCTCTCCTTTCACCCTAAATGGATTATACATAAGCCTATTTTAAATTGTTATGTTTTAAAGTTTATTTATTTTGAGAGAGAGAGAGGGAATGAGCATGAGTGGGGAGGGGCAGAGAAAGAGGGAGAGAAAGAGTCCCAAGCAGGCTCCGCACTGACAGGGGGCTTGATCTCACAAATCATGAGATCATGAACCGAGCTGAAATCAAGAATTGGATGCTTAACCGGTGACTGAGTCACCCAGGTGCCCTATTATAAACATTTACACTATAATACCTACTGGGAACCTGTGAAGGCAGATACCAGCATATAGTCGGCTACAAATAACACAGCACTATTTTATGAAGAGTTATAGGCCATTTTTAGAAGCATAAACTCAACTATTGGAATTTACTTCCAGAAATCTATCCTACACTTATGACCACACAAATATGTAAAGATGTATGTATAAGGGTGTACTGAGCAAATAATTGCAAATAGTCTTCATTTTAGTAATTCACAAATTATGGAATGGTATATTCATATAATGGGATGTTATAAAGCTATTGACAAGAATGAGACAGATCTACAAGATGCTCACAAAGAAATATGTTCAAACCATTTTGTCAAATGAGAAAAATAATGTTTACTAAAAACTTATGTATTTCATTTGTTTTAAAAAAAGAAAAGGATATTATGGTTTTATATATGCAATTCATAACTGGTGATATAGTTGATACGGTAAATTGGCATTTACCTGAAGTGTGGGAGCTTTGAGACTCTTCTGAGAAAGTTCTGGAAGACAGAGTACCCCACTATCTATCTGAAACATCTAAAGTTGAAAAAGAAAGCTACAGATTATTTCAAAAGGCTGATTTCTCTCTTCTTACATTCAAAAGTTGTCTTGGTGGAAGATAAGCATTAAAACTTTTATCCACACTCTAGCAATACATTATTAAGCAATTACCTGTTTTACTTTCTCTTCCTCTTCTTCCACCTCACTTGTCAGAATTTGAATTTTGTTCTTTAGGCTGTGAATATTCCCAGTCATTGACTCTATGGTCTCTAGTATTTTATCTATTTCCTCCTGAGTCCGAAATAAAAAGTTAATATTTTAAACTGAATATATTATTAATTGAAACCCAAATAGGTATTAATATACATATACATATTTTTAAAAAATATCTCATACAGTGAAACACTTTTGGAAGAAACCGGTATATTTCTTTTTTTCTCTTTCAAAAAGTAGACTTCCTAGAAACTAATTTACCAATATAATAATGCATTGTAAGGAAACTTAATTTCCCTGGAGCAAGGAGATCTATATACCCCATGTACAAGAATATTTCCTCAAAAACTAGGCAAAACTGCTACAATCAGAGATCCTGGAAGATCCGTGCAAATGTGGCAGAGCCCCAGGACTGATGGCCTAAAAATCTGTGCTTTGCCTGTTCGTCTCTATCCCCACCACACAAACCTGGCAATCACTCATCTTTCTATTCTCCAGTTTTCCCACTTCTGGAGCACTGTCATGTTATATAGTTGCAGTAATACAGTATGTGTAGCCTTTTCAGTTTGGTTTCTTTTATAATATGCATTTAAGGTTCCTCCATGTCTCATTAGGGCTTAATAGCTCATTTCTTTTTAGTGGTGAATAATATTGTCTGATGTGCCACAGTTTATTTATCCATTTGCCTACTGAAGGACATCTTGGACTTTTCCAACTTTTGGCAATTATGAATAAAAGCTACCACAAACACCCATATGCAATATACCAAGGAGCGTGATTGCTGGATTGTGTGGTAAGAGTATGTTTCATTTTAAGACGCTGCCAAACCGTATTCCCAAGTGCTGTACCATTTAGCATTCCCACCAGCTAGAGTTCTGTTGCTCCACATCCTTGTCTGCATTTATTGTTTTCCATGTTCTAGATTCTGGTCATTATAATAAGTGCATATGAAGTCTCTTTTCATCTCTTGTTTTCCACTCCAATTTTTTTGGTTACTTCCAGTTTACTTGTACTAGAAACTAGAGAGTTTGCCTTGTAGCATTTGCTGGTCAAGTTTCACCTGTTCCTCAGCCCTGAATTTCCTGTGACTTGGCTTTTGGATTTTGAAGAGTGCTGTCCAATACCACTATATGTAAGGTGCATGTATTCCCTTCCTGCCATAACAAACACAAACTTGGTGGCTTAAAACAGAAATTTATTCTCTCACAGTTCTTGAAGGCAGATGTCCAAAGCAAGGTGTTGGCAGGGCAGATTCCAGATCCCTCTGGAATATCTAAGGGAGAATCCTCTCTTGGTTCTTCTGGCTTCTATGGCTACAGCACTCCAATTTCTGCATCTTTTTTTTTTTTCCCCACACAGACTTTTCCTCCACGTCTCCGCATAAGGCCACTTTTGTCTCTTTACTAGACAACTCTCTTTGGATTGAGGGCCCACCCAAGATAATCCAGGATGATCTCGAGATCCTTAATTATATCTGGGAAGACTCTTTCCAAATAAGGTCACATTCGCAGGTTCCAGGGTTAGGACTTGGGCATCTTATTTTGGGGGCCACCATATGACCCAACCCAGAGGGAATGAATAACAGCACTGGATACAGAAAACAGTATTAATAGGACTACAAATTTCCATTGTAATTAAAAAATTATTTTGTTGCATCACTTTGGTTACCTTCTTCGGGTATTCCTACCCTACCTATGCCATATCTTCTTTGCTGAGCTCTTACATTTGTCACTTTTTCTCAATACCTTTAAAAATTTCCATGTTTCTTTTTGATTCTTAAAATTTTCTCTTTATTTTGTTTATTGTAAGTATTATCTGTTGTGTTTAATTCTCCTTCTAATTTAGTCTGTACACCTGAAAGGTTTCTTTCTTTTACTTTTAATTCTTCCCTGAATTCTGTAGCTGCAGTTTTTGGTATCTCTAATCCTGATTAGTGATTTTTTCCATACCCTCTATAGTTTTTCTGAATTTCTTTTTGTTTGCTTGACAATTAGGTTAGTGTTCATCTGTTTTGTGAACACATGTTTTTGGTATGCTTTTGTTATCTGTGGATTATTTTTTGTCCTTATTTGTACATTTTCTTATGTTAACTTTGGTTGTGAAATTCTATGGTTCTGTTCTTATGCAGAGATCCACAGAGATTAAACACTAAGGCCCAGCAGATCTTTTACCACCTTCTCAGAGTCACTCCAAGACTTTGCTGACTGCCTTTTCCCTAGTATCATCACGGAGTGAGAGAGCTCAATGAACACACTGTTGTTGCATGAATACAACTTGTTACTCATTAGCTGATACAGGTTTTGGAAAGTCACCATCAAGAATAACTCTAGGCTACAGTGGGGAAAAGCAGCAGTTCTAAGACACACAGCGGAAAACTGATGGATACAGACAAAACCTACAAACTCCTAGTTCAAAGGCTCTATTATATCAATGAAGAACTCTTATACCCAAAATGCCAACAGTGCTTCCATTGAGTAACTGAATATTAAGCAAGCAAAACCAGGACTGTTGTAATGTTGTGATATAAAAAATACGTATTTGGTCTTCATCCCTGGTTTCTGGCACAGAGCCTCTAAAATCCTTGTAATCTGCTGAGTGATTGGGGTGACAGCAGCATCTTTTCTATTCATAATAAGCCCCTTTCAACCTTACCTGAGTTTATGCTAATAATGAATGATTTAGAGAGGACAGAGTCTGGTTGCCAGAGCAACCCACCATGTCAGTACAGGGTTGGAACTTTTAGCCCCACTCCTCGATCTCCTGAGAAGGGGAAAGGGGCTGGATATTCAGTTATGCTCACGTGATGAAGGATCCATAAAAACTGTAAACACTGGGTTCAGAGAGCTTCTAGGTTAGCGAACACGTTGGGGTGCTGGGAGGGCAACACTCTTCCCCTATATCCTGCCCTATGTATCTCTTCCACTTAGCTGTTCTTGAATGTATCCTTTATAATGAACAGGTAATAGTAAGTAAAGTGACTTCCTGAATTCTGTAAGCTGTTCTAGCAAATTACTGAAAGTGAGGAGAGGGTCATGGCAATACCTGATTTGTACTTGGTTGGTCAGAAGTACAGGAGTGGATGGCAACTGTCATCTGAAGTGGGGGGCAGTCTTGTGAGACTGAGCCCTTAACCTGTGGGGTCTGTACTAATTTCAGGTAGTGTCAGAATTGAATGAAATTGTAGGACACCTAGTTGGTGTCTGCAGAGAACTGGAAAAGTGCTTCATGGAAAACCCACACATTTGGTGTCAGGGGTGCTGAGTACAGAGAAAACAGTTTTTTCCATTTAACTCTATTTACCCTTTTGGCATATGGAGGTCCAGTTTTTGCTGTAAAACAGAAATGCTTCCAAGTATTATAAAAATCACAGTATCATTTACGATGTTTGATCACTTTCAAGTGGTTTATGCAAATATTAAATGTTAAGATAACATTTGCCATCATTTACTTTAAAATCACCTTAAAAAAAAAAAGTCAAACTCACAAAAAAGAGTAACAAAGTGGTTACCAGGGCCTGGGGGATGGAGGAAATGGGGAGAGGTTAGGAAAGGGTACAAATTTTCAGCTATAAGATGAATGAGGTGTGACGACCTAGTGTGAAACAAGGTGATTATAACTGACAACACTGTACTGTACACTTAAAATTTGCTGAGAGAACTTAAATGTTCTTACCACACACAAAATAAAAAAATCATGTGAGGTGATGATGTGTGAATTTACCAGATGAGGGAATGCTTTCACAAAGTGTACATATATCAAGTCACTACAATGCACGCTTCAAATATCTTAAGATTATAGGCCTATAAAGCTGAAATAAAAAAAATAACCTGTATTAATGTCATCCAGGTGCTCATTACATGGTGGAACTATATCAGTAGTTAAAATATACTCTTAAAAAGTAGTAACAGTGGGATAAAAACTTGGCTATCATCTCACAACACGAAGGAAGTGGAGTTTCTATTTAAAACGTATATGATTCATTAATTTATAATATATGTAAATTATATACATTTCATTAATTTATAATATATGTAAATTTGTTGCTCAGAATCAAATCCATCCAATGTTGATTGTATGGAAAAACCAGAATAAAATGTGAATTCTGAATTATTAGAAATCCTTGGGCATGCACATTCCTTGCATAAACTACCACCCAAACTGTATTTTCTGAATTGCTAACAAAGACCTATGTGCCATTACCCACAAACTGCTCTGAAGTGGCTAAGGGATATAACGTCTAACTATTTAATAAACCCCCTAAGTTTGCTTTTCTTAAATGTTCAAATATTGACTAATTAAAAGTCTGAAGTTAATCATGATACCCAATGTTATCTCCCATTACCTTCTACAAGAAAATGATCAAGAATCAGAATTTGAAGTTGGGCTAAGGTCTACATCATAACTTGAAGCAGTATGTGTAAGTTTTAGCTAAAAGTATTGGATGTCTCTTTTTTCACATTTGTAAAATGAGATCACATGGCATAGACCTCTTTAAGTCATTTTTAGAATTAAGGGATATAAGTGCCTAGAGTAGTGCCTAGAACATAGAGAGCCCTCATTACATGTTAGCTATAATGATAATAAACAACAATAATAATGATGACCATGCTCTTCTTGTCAATAAGTACCATATACAGAATGGAAAAACTAATATAATGTTTTGAAATTCTATAGCATTTAGTGATGACCTCCTGTAATTTGATAATCCAAAATAGTAGTCCAGTTAAAGTCAGATAAAAAAAATAGAATTGCTAATCATTAATATATTAGAAGTACTTTTAACTTTAGAGGCCCAAAGTTTAGGCAAAGTTTTTGCTTTGACTAATAATAATAAAAATAATAATAATAATTTAATGAATTACTTGTTCTAATATCAGTATTCATTACTCAGAGAATATCATGATAATTAAAATAATTTCTTGTTTTCTTCCCCTTTCTCCTAATTCTCTAATTACAGACTCCCTGTTCAAATATCATACCTGCAATAATGCCAGACCTTCTTCATTAGCTCTGTGCTCTGCCCTTTCCATTTTCAGTAGACTTGACACATTAGTTAAATCTTTCAGCTTTTTGGGAGGGACTTTAAGATTTTCACACAGTTGTAGCAATCTTAGGGATAAAATAAAAACATAATTATATTTACTTTTTTAGTACCATTATTTTTGTTTTTTGTTCTGTTTGAAGTACTGTTGCCATCTCTTCTCTGACCTCATATTCCCAAGGGCTATAATATTCTTTTATTAACAGTGGCTAACATTAGCAGTGAGTCACCCATAAAAAGCCATGACACATCATCTTTAAACCTTTCAATTTATTAAGATTTATCTCAAATCATAGGGCACTTAAGCTGCTTCAAGAAAGGAAAAAATTCTATTTTACATATTTAACAATTAATTGTATTATATACATTTATTTATACAATTTAATTTTTATACAATTTCATTTATACATATTTTAAAGTAAAACTTTCCTTGTATCTTCTGAAAGTGTTTCCTGGACTATTATAGCACATAATTCTATTGGTTATTGTGATTGTTGGATAAAAGATGGAACACTACTCTGTAAGTCATAATTATGACCCTGGATGCTATATTTCAGTTGTCTCAGACAATGTGACCAATGAAAAAGAACTTCTATATCAGTTACTCTAACAATGGCTTTGAAGATAAGTGAGTGCCATAGAGTTTAAGGCAAATAAAACATGAAGATTAAAGTGCTTTGTTCAGAGGCGCCTGGGTGGTTCAATTGGTTAAGTGTCTGACTTTGGCTCAGGTCATGATCTTGTGTTTCATGAGTTCAAGCCCAGTGTTACACTCTGTGCTGACAGCTCAGAGCCTGGAGCCTGCTCTGGATTCTGTGTCTCCTTCTCTCTGACCCTCTCCCGCTGTCTCTCTTTCTCTCAAAAATAAATAAACATTCAAAAAATAGAGTGCTTTGTCAAAAGTACTGTCATCATAAATACTATTCAATATTAAAGTTAAGAAATCCTTTCTAAATATATAAAGGAAAAAAATTGAAGAACAAATTAAAAACAAAAAGATAAAAAAACAAATTAAAAACAGAAAAAAATTAACAAAACAAGGCTAAGAAAGCCTCCTTCAAACCAGGTTGATTAGATCACCAATAGAAACTAACCTATTACTACCCTCACTTGTAGCAGGGAGCAATACAGCTTTCCTAGATTTGATTCTTGAATTCGAGGAAGAAATCAAGGAGGAATATCTAAATTTGGTTGCTTTTACCTAGCAGCAGCATTTTGGCATTCTCCAAAACCCTACAACTTAAGATTTGTAGGGTTTTAACAAGAGTGGAAACCAAAACTCATCCTCCAAAAAATACCAGATAAGAACAGTAAACTGTTAACTTCAAATTGCTCAACATGAAGGGAGTTAAAATTGACAAAATATTTTTTCAAATCCCAATACAAAACAATGAACTGTAGAAGTAGGCATTTTGTGATTTTCAGACTCTTTCCTTAATAAATTCTCTTAACTTCAGAATTGCATGCAGCAGCAGTTTAGAATATACATTTCCAAATTGTTCATCTTAAAACAATAGAAGCAACAACAATGAAAACCCAGTATGAAAGAAAAACTTTATATCCCACAAATGTCTGTTCTGATAACATAGGAACAGATCAGATTTTTACTAATTATGTTCTAACAATTTTCTATTGCATAACTATATTACCTTTTCTTTAGATAGTTAAGATGATACTGAACTTGTTCATGTTCTCTAATATTGTTACTCAAAATTGTTCTGGAAAAGAAAAAAGATATTGAATAAGTAGTAGTTTGAAATACAACTAATACAATGTTTACTTTTTTCTCTCTGATTTCTTTCATGTGTCTCATACTAGCCAGGAAGAATCAATCACTTTTTATTTTATGTTAATAAAATAAATAACTTAATGTTAATAAAATGTTAATAAAATATGTTAATATGTTATATATGTTAATATATATAATATAATATAATATAAAATATGTTAATAAAATAAATAACTTAAAATGTTAAATACATTTTAAGCAGAGATAGAATCAAAATTCTTTTTATTACATTTTATTATTGTAATTAATTTAGATGAGTTCAGTTTCTTGATGGCAGAATCCATCTTTATATCCCCTTTAGCACGATGGTAGCTTACGTATAGTGCCAATTCAACTCAACTTCTTCCTAAATATCCCTAGTAAGGGAACAACTTTAAAGTTTACAAATAGCAAGCTATGCCACATAGGCTTTGTTTTTCTTTCTTTGATGGAATGATAAGCTTCTGAAATTAATAAAGACTTCTTGCTTAAGGCTAATAGCATCACAAGACATTACGTGTATCTTCTTCTGAAAGAGAAAAATACCCTACCACCATAAAACAAATAATGACAGTTAAAAGGATACCGTTTGTAGGAAACATTTGAGTACAAATCAGGAGTGAAAAAATTTCATACTTACATTATTACTGATTCCATCATAGCTTGTAAATGCTCTCTGCTCCTCTTTGAAAGAGGCTGCCAGGTTTTTCTCTTGTTGAATGCTACCTTTACCCGTTTTAGATTAGTATTCTCTGTTCGTCCTGTTACTGGTGAGAGAAGAGACTCTGGTCAATCTCAAAGTTTTATGTTTTTACTTAGGAAGAGTTTCAAGTATAAATTTACTTTAAAAAGCTAATAGAATTACAAGAACCAAAATATTATAAAACTGCAGGAATCGTTTAACTTCTTTTTTATTGCACAGCCATAATATGTCAAGTGTCAAATATGAATATGCTGTCTATTATTATGTTAGCTAAAATATTAGTAGCTGACATTGCAGATACAAACCCAAGACAATTCTAAATGAAGAACCAGGCTACACTTATTAGGATTCAATATAAAAGTCTGGTTCCCAGAAATGATATAAATTAAAGAGCTTCATTGAGAAGACTAGAAAGCTATTTCTACCAAATGTTGAATGGCAACTGGAACAAAATATTCAGGGTCTCCTAGGTTGTTGATGTTGTTCTACTTATAAGGGATAAACAAAGGAGATATGCTACTGGCTCCTCTGAAGATTAGTTCTGGAGAGAAGGGAGATAAAATAATTATAATTAGAAGTATGCAAAGCATTACAAAAGAAAAAGTTCTATGTACTATGTGCACTACAGTAATATAAAACCAGAGGACCTAGCTTGGTCTTGGTGAGAAGACGGAGGGAATTCTTCAAAGAAGTGATGCTTAAGTAAAGATGACTGCTCCAAACTAACTTACTCCAAACAAAATTGGACAGTAGCTCCAAACTAATCTATACAATGGTGGTAGGACAGAAGTATATCTGTTTTAAAGAGAAATCAGTAGAGAAATCATGTGTCTCCATGTCACAAATCAGTAATAATTCAGACTATGGGACAGTGGTTTTTTTCTAGTTCCTATCAATTTAGAATCCTACACAATATTTTGCTAGAGGTGGTAAGTAAAATTTCAGTTGAAGAAAATAACTAACAAGTACTACTTATTCTTGCAAAAATGAGAATGCAGCTGTTTATCACTATCTTTTCCAGAACTCATAAACAAGATGCTGAGAATTTTTTCATGAATACAGATAGTATTGAGACCGACAGACAAGTTAAATAAGCTAGAGAAAATAAATACCTTCAGAAGGCAGATGCTTTGGATTTTTATTTTTTGCTGTGTTTCTAACCTAAAGGAAAAAACACATGCACACATAATTAAGCATCAGGTAAAAAGATAGCGTTTTTGATATATATTTGTCATGTACGTCGAAGAGTATCCATATATCTTCCGACAAGATGGAAAAAAGTAGATTGCCACTTCTGCAGAACAAGAGTGTGTATTTATCACAGGCAGCAGATATACTAAAGCAATTCCTGGACAATGGTGATAATGTACAGCAGAATTCCATACAATGTCAAAGAATGTTTTAAAGAAATTGTTAGTCATTTTGCCTGTGAAATAGTGTTATATACTTCACCTACAAAAAAACATAGGGAAAAACACATTTTTAAAATTATTTTATAATAAAAATTTTGGAAGAGAGGGGCACAATGATGGTACACAGAAGCTAATTTCTCCCAAAGTAATTTTTCTCTATGATAATAAATATATCTTCTCCTAACTCACAGATTTTCCTTTTAACATAGAATCTCTATACACTTTATTCCTAGTCTTCACATTTAAACCTTAGCAATGCCCCATTACCCCTTCCTGAAAATAATTCTCTGATCAGTATCTTTGGAAATTGAAATACATAATTTTCATCTGAGAACTTTTACAAATCATATTGCAATAGCTCCCACATAATATGAATTACTACAATTTGTAGTAAAACTGCCCTTTAGTCTTCACATATTCCTTCACATAGAACAGATGATATTTTCAATCACAATGTTCTAAATGATAAACTCAGTATTTTCATTACCTTTCTCTCTGGTAACTCCACTTCTTCATCATCAGTTTTTCGTTTTGGGTTTTTTTTTAACTGTTGAGGTCTTTTCTTGGAAGCCCCTGCTTTGTTAGACATCTTGATTAAACAGAACAATCATAACAAAAAGTCTGGAAAGATAAAAGGACACAGAAAAGCTTAAGCCTGCATAACGAATTTTGTTAAAAAGAGCTACTATACATGTTCCAAATTTGCTTTAAAAAAATCGTAATGAAAGTTTTGGGACAGTATTGTTTTTAGAACATTTAAACATATTTCAAAACAAACATCAGTTATTATTAAAGTAAGTGTGTCTAATTCAATTTCATTCTTAAAAATATCTTCCATTTTTATGGCTTTACAAAATTATGTGAAAATGCTTTTGCATTTCTTACTTTATACTTCCTCAATACAGTAACATTATCTCCATGTTTAGATCCAAGAAAATGGAAATATAAGGTATTAAATTGTCTTACTCTAGTCACAGATATTCTCCATTCTCCTTATGAAAGGAGATAATCTTTAGGATCATATTATGAATCTATGTTGTGGAAATTCAGGTGGAAAATTCACTCATAAGGATTTAAGCTCTAACTCTGCTTGGGCTATTTGCATTTTAAAAAAGCACAGAAGTATACTGATTACCCTGTCCTCCCACAAATTACAAACAGGCACAGAAGTGGATGAAGATGTCAATGACAACATTTAGAATGACTCCTTTTCCCTATCTACTAACTAGTAAGTCACCAAACTTTTCACTGTTAAAAGGAACAGAGGAATAGGATGTTTATTCTTGCATTAGACCATAAGGAGTAGGTAGCTTAGAAGTTAGGTACAGTATACATGGAGGGGTGTGTGAATGTGTTTGCAGACATACCTGGGAGATATTGCAGGTTCTGTTCTAGACCACTGCAATAAAATGAATACTGCAATAAAGTGAGTCAAATGAAATTTTTGGTTTCATTTGCATGTAAAAGTTATGTTTACATTATACTGTAGTCTAGTAAGTGTGCAATAACATTATGTCTAAAAACACAACCAATGTACATACCTTAATTAAAACATACTTTATGGCTGAAAAATGCTAACCATCATCTGAACATTCAGCAAGTCAATCACTGATCACCATAACAAATATCATAATAGTGGAAAAGTTTGAAATATTCCAAGAATTCCCAAAATGTAACAGAGACAGGAAGTGAGCAAATGTTGTTGGAAAAATGGAGTCAAAAGACTTGCTGATGCAGGATTGCCACAAACCTTCAATCTGTAAAGAACACGGTATCTGTGAAGTATGATAAAATGAGGTATACATATATGTGTGTGTATACATTACATATATATGTTTTCTAGGCATATACAGTTAGATATGTAAATTTCCATTTAAAATTTAAATGGAATTTAAAATTTAAAATTTTAGAGTTTAAATATATACGGAGATTGAGAGATAATAAAGGAGGTACTTCGGATAAATCTATTTCTTCAAATTTTAAAAGGTGAAGTTTCAAGATTTTTTTCAGTAAGATTAACACAAATAGTGAGACATAATTAATTGAACAATCACCAACTACACTTAAGGACTACTTGTAAGATCATTGACAAAAAGCCGTGAAAGTTAAAATACACTTTACCCTGCTCTTGAACAATGTGGTGCTTTACGCCTAGTCTCTCGTGTTATATTCCTGAGATGCCCGATTTTCTCAACTTGTCATCCATGCCCTTATACTTCCCCTACTTAAAAAAGCCAAACCACATGAGAGTTTCACTTGTGGACCTCTCCTGGAAGGCTGCCATATATACAGCAGTACAGGTTGTTCACTGAAGAGTATCTGGGCGAGGCAGCAAAAGAGGGCTGGAATTTAGTACTCACTTCATCCGATAGGTTAAAAATGGTGCAAATTCCTTCTCACTCCAATTATTGAGAGATGGAGTCTATGTTCCCTTATCTTAAATCCTGGCATTCTACTGTTTGAACAGTAGAATACGGTGGAAATGATTCTGTACCAGTTTCCTGGCCTAAACATGGAAAGAATCACAGCTTCAACTTCATCATGTTTAGGATATTTGGTCTAGGAACCCAGCTACCATGCTATAAGGAAGGCTAACTTGGAGAGGAACTGAAGCCCCAGGCAAAATCCCCAGCTGAACTCCCAACAAGCAGCCAGCACCAACTTGCCAGCCTGGCATGTACCTGAGCCACAATCAATATGCTGCAGCTGATCCTGTATGGAAAAGATATGAGTCAGTCCTACCAAGTTGTTTCTGATCCCAAATTCTGGAACAAAATAAATTATTATCTCAAGTTAAAAAAAAAAAAAAAAATCCTTCCCCAATACCTAGCATACAACACCCAAACTCTTTACCATGCCATTTACAGTCCTGAACAATCTAGCCCTGCCTAGCTCCATATTTTTCTCCCACTACTCCTTGTAAGACTCTCTCTCTCTCTCTCTCTCGTACATTTGAGGATTTCCTGAACACACTTTGAGTATGCATGCACTATGCCCTCTACCTGAGCTGCTCGCTTGCCTCCGTCCACCCTCCCAGAGCATGAACCACCTGTCCTCCATGCCTCCTAACCACACCACTCCACTCTAAAAGTCTGTGGGCTCTTATGGTCTCTAACTTTCCCCTGGCACTTATGTATAGTTTGGTTCTGCTTATCAATTTTTCTTGATATTCTTTATTCAAGAACATATAATTTACTGCTACTCCAAATTTAACTCACAAACTATGACAGTCCTTTTAAATATATAAAATGACAGTATCCCTTTAGAAACTTTTATTGCAATTTGGCAACAATTTTATGTATACTGAACTTGACTATAAAATAATTGGTTGTTTTTTTCTTTTTAAATGTCATTTTTCCAGTAATTTATTAAAAACAAACAAACAAACAAACACCACTTTCTTTTTTAGAGACGTTTTAGGTTCACAGCAAAATTAAGCAGCAAGTATGTAGAGTACCCATATACCCTCTGTAACCACTCACTACCCCCAGCCTCTTCCACTACCAACTTCCCACACCTGAGTGGTACATTTGCTACAATTCATGAACTTCCACTGATATATCATATCACCCAAAGTTTACTAGTGTTCATTCTTGATGTTATATACTCTACGGGTTTGACTAGTAATTAATTTTGGGTTGTACTGTACAAAAGAATCAGTTGTGACAGATTAAAAGTAAATAAATAAATAAATAAAAGTTGGTCTTTGACTACCGGCAAGAGGAGATGCACCATTTTCATCGATACCTATTTGAGGCACTAAACCATAGCGCAATAAGTTTCTCAACCTCCGCACTATCAACATTTTGGATGGGGTAACTCTTTGTTGTGGGGGATGCATTGTAAGATGTTTAGCAGCAGTTATGGTCTCTAGTTGCAAGCACCCTCTCTTTGCAGCCCCTCAGGTTGTGACAACTAAAACTGTCCCCTGGTGGGAATGGACATCAGATTGAGAACCACTGCCAAGAGCAAGTCAGGGATAAGGATAAATGGCCTAGTTCCCAATCTCAACTCTGCCATTTAACTAGCTGTACAATTTTAGGCAAGTAAAGTTGTTCAATTTCCCTACTGGTAAAATGGGTTAAAGTTAAAAAGCACCAACATTAAAGGTTTTTGTGAAGCTAAAATTTTGTACAGAATACGTAAAATGCTTAGAACATAGTAAGAATTCAATAAAGAACTGTCATAATTTTCTATCACTTTTGGGTTAATTGTAAAGGAACTAGAATAGAAATTTTAATATAAATGGAAAAGGAATAGAAATTTTGCCGTTTTAGATCCACAGGAAACCACAGCCTAGCGGTAGTGGGTAGAGACAGATATGAAAACAATTGCTATATAAAATTACATACCATGTGAAAAAGCTAGAAAAGACAAATAAATGAATGACTCGAAATGATGTGTGTGGGGGTGGGGGAAGAATGCTACATGCTATGCAGAAAAAAAAAAGTAACATGTGAACTACATTTTGAAATATTTAGCCAGAAGGACCAGGAATGAAGTATTTGAGAGAAAACAGCAAAAGCCTGATGGCAGAACAGTTTAAAAGAAACTGGTCTGTACAGGGACAGGGAAAATTCAGCGATATTTTAATGTGTATGGGAGTAATGGACAGAAATAAGACTGAGTAATGGGACAGAAATAAGACTGGAACGGTGGTTTGCGGCCAGACACTATACTGCAGTAAAGAATTTACCCTTACTCTGTAGGAAACAGGGAGACCTCCTACGCTGTCCTGTTTTCCTTATCTGTTTGCTGAAATTCGTGGAAACCAACTCTCTCAGCCTAGGGCTCTATATAGGCACACAGGGCGAGCGCCAAGTCTGGCAAAACACAAAAATACTCTATGTTTACCTCCTGACAAATGCCTCGGGATAGCAACGCTGCCGACGGAAGTTACCTTAGTACCCAAAGATATTAATCTCTAGAGCTGCACTTCGCCCCAAGATGGGCCGCAGGATATTATGGAAAACGAACGAGGAGGCGGATGAATTGGGGAAAGGAGGAACTGAGGCGCCAGGCGTGGCTTCACTCCGGCCTCGCAAGTCAAACAGTTCAATCCTGGCCCCAAAAGTGATTTCCCTCTCACTGGAAAATCATCTCACGCTCCCGAAATACAAGCCGCGGAGACTGCCATAATCGCACTGGCCACAAAACTCATTCCGCAAGCTGGACGCACCCGCCGATAAAAAGCGTTCATTACTCACCAAAGGTGCCTATTGAATGCTCCAGTAGGCCAAACTCTGAGCAATTGGCGCCAAAACCGTTAAAAGTCAACAAGGCCCGGAAGTGGGCGGGTAGAAACCGGAAACCGGGGAGTAGAGAGGCGAGCATTCTAGCCCCCCTCTAACGTCATCAGAGGCGCGCCCACGGGAGCGCGACGAGATTGGCTGCAGGGAGGGCGGTGTCCGCCTACACCCCCTGACTCCTCCAGCTGACTTTTGCGCGAGCTCCGTGAGGGGTTCAGCTGTGTGGATCTCTGACTTCTAGGGCTGGGTCTTCCGAAGCCCAGCCGCCGTCTCTCACAGCCGAGGTCTGAGACAGGCAGGCCGTGAGTAAGACTGTGTATTTAGGGATGTCACCTTTCACTGCCCTCCATTCTTCTGACTCCTCTCTCCCCATTTATCCTTGTCCTCTGAGCCTGTCCTTTTTCTCCTCCCGACTTCCTTATTTACCTTCCCACTGTGAGGGCATCCCGCTCTCCCCTATCTTCTTGGGTTTAAAGTCTCGACCGACTTCCTTCAGCGTGATCAGTGGGAATTCGGAGGTACTTCTGGAAAGAAGGTGTTAGTTCGCCTCGGGGGCCATGTCGCCATCTTCCCCCGGGTACCCCAAAACCCCGAGATGCCGCTCGGCAGAGGGCGCTTGCAAGATTGCAGAGGGGTGCGCGGGCGCCACAGCTGTCTCTCTTCTAGGCTGCAGCTCTTGTTACTGTGAGGTTATTTGTAAAAGGTGGAGGACTGAAAATGACTTTGTCTATACTTGTGGAGTGAAGGGTAAGAGGAGAAATAGGAAAGAGAGGTCTAAATTAACATAAAATTATAATTTACTAACTTGTTCTGTTTTATCTTGAAAGAGCAATCTTTGAGACGCTGGAAACCTTGGATAGTGTGTGTATGTGTGTAAAGTTTTAAATCACTTGATGATTTTTCTCCCATCATTTTCTAATATTTAATGATACACTTATGCTAATATTAAATACAATTTGCATGCTGTGTCTTGTTGCATGCTCCAACCCAAATTGTTTGAACATTGATTGAAGGTGGTTAGCCTTTCCTAAAGTATTAATGTGGAACCACATATTAACAGAACTTGAGAGTTATTTGATTCAGAACGGTAGGTATTTTACCCATATTTTGGGAGGGTCTGTAGGGATGGGCTTCATCATTACTCTTTAACATATTGTAATCATCAGTAACTTATATTTGTTTTACATGTTTTTTTCTTTGGATCCTTGAAGCCTCTTTATGGCGAGAAAAGGTCAGAAGTCCTGTTGCCATCAGTAGTAGTTGTGATGTCTGTTTCCAGCCTTTGATTTTCTGGAATTTGCCATGTGTTTTTCTGGAAGTCACTAAATAGAGGGCTCTTTCCTATCATTTGTCCAGGTTTGGGGAACCAGTATTTTATGCAAATGAGTGTGATATATTCTGTCTACAATCTCATATCAGGCAGTTTTCAAATTACCTTTTATGTCATTGCTGTAATGTTTCAGTTATAAATTATTTCTCTCACCTATTTTTAAGCTAGTACATGTAGTTTATGCTTGCATTATGCTTGCAAGAAGATGGATGACAAGGACCCCATGGATATAATAGAGTAAAAATCATAGTAGCTTTAAAAGAATAAAGGGAATTGTTTTGTTGTATTTCTTTTTACATTTTGTTCTGTGTACTTTGTACCCAGTTGAACATACTGCATTTACAATGTTTAATCCTGATTCTTTCACTTAATACTTTTTTTTAAAGATTTTTTTTGACGTTTATTTATTTTTGAGAGACAGAACGCGAGTGGGGGAGGAGCAGAGAGAGAGGGAGACACAGAATCCAAAGCAGGCTCCATCCAGACTCTGAGCTGTCAGCACAGAACCCCATGCAGGGCTCGAACTCATGAACCGTGAGATCATGACCTGAGCCAAGTCAGACGCTTAACCAACTGAGCCACCCAGGCACCCCTCACTTAATACTTTTTGAGCCTGTCTCCTTTTTAAAGAAACTGCATAACATATTTTAAATTTGACTTATGTATAATAGTATATTACGTATATATAAGTGCATATAATTGTACAATTTGATGAATTTCCACAAACCGAATACATCCATATAATCAGCATTCAGATCAAGACCATCGCCCCAAAGCACCTCTTTTGTTCGCTTTCTGTACTAGCTGCCATAAGTAACCACTCTTCTGACTTCTGACATTAAAAATTGGTTTTGTCCATTTTCTAAATATATTTTAATAGCTATGTAAAATTCTATCACTTGTATATACTATTATTCGCTTATTATTCCTACATTGTTAGACATTTAGGATGTTTCTAAATTTTCTTTATTACAAATAAAACTATAGGAAACATGCATTTTTATATGGTAACTTTCCTAGGAGTGTTGTTCCTCAGTGGAATGGCATAATCAGTCCTGACACTTTTTGTGCATATTGCCAATTTGCTTTCCAAAGTAATTAAAGCAGTTTATATTCCCACCAGTGGTTTCTCTTTTGTTTCACAACCCTCTAACAAATGTTGAGTATTCTTATTTTTCTTTAAGTTTCATTAAATTGATAGGTAAGAGATGGTATAGAAAATAGAGTTTTAAGTTCACTTTACTTGTTGCTTTATACATTATAGAGCATGATGAATATATTAATAAAATTTGCATCCCCAAACCTTTTAAAATACTAGGCTCTGTATGTTGAAGCTGTATGACTCTAGCAAGTATTTACGTAATTCAGATGAACAGTGGAATTTTGATCCAATTTCTTTACTCATTTATTTCTCTGGATCTTAATTTCTATGTGTAAAATGGTGAAATCAGACTTAGTCACTTAGTGTAAGACTGTGCTAGTTATTAGGAATATACAGCTCTAATGTTGGGTCAGTTAATAAATTAGCAGAGAAATATGTATATATGTGTATAATTTTATACACCTTAATATATTTTATATAAAAGTTAAAAACAGTATTTTAATATGTTGTAGTGTGGGAGATGACAGATGTCTAAAGAGAGAAACAGTGCTGTGGTATGGAATACTGAAGAGGTCATTTAGCCCAGCATGTGAGTTCAGGGAAAACCTCTGAATATATTATTTAAATGCTAGGACTTTGAAACCTAGTGCTGCCTAGGTTTAAATGCTGGCTCTTCTGTGTCTCAGTTTTCTCATCTGTAAAATGGGAATAACATTAGTACCTATCTTGGTGGTGTTGTGAGGATGAAAATTGCTACTCTGTGTAAAGCCCTTGTAGCAGTGCCTGGCATGTAGAAAACCCTGCGTACTGGAGATGATGCCTTAGCCAGATTAGCCAGAGAAGAACATTCTAGGTAGATGGAAGAGCAAGAGCAAATCATGGAACTTTGATACATGCAGGGAGCTATAGGTTATCCAGTATTTCTGGAACAGTGATGAGTCTGAGAAGTAAGCAGTGATCAGGTCATAGAGACCTTGAATGCCTATTTCTCTTGTTCTCCATTATTATCTCCAGCACCCAACACAATGAGTGTCATAAAGTAGATGTGAAAAATGTTTTCAATGAAGAAATCAGGAGGTTGTATGTTATCCTCTAAATAATGCAGAACCTTTGAAAAATCCTAAGTGAAGTGTGACATGACCATATTTGCATTGGTGTCAGTGTGTAGAATGGATTAGAGACCCTAAGACTGGCCAGTAAAACCAGCTAACAAAGTATTGAGTTAGAAGACTAGAACAATGATAGTAATTGTGGAGAAGAAGATCCAACGTTACGAATTATCAGGTATAGGAAGCAGGAAAGAAGAGATGAAATCATACTAAAATGCCCTTTTTTCCCTTCTCACCAATAGTTCCCATTTGGCTTTTGTAAACACATATATACTGTACTTCTTTTTCTAGGCCAGTTCATGTTCCTTTTGGGTGTTTTCCATGCTCCATCATGTTGAGGGCTAAGACTTGGCTTCTTTTGCTTTCACCTCATCACCTGAAGCAGCTCAAAGAGTCATCAGGATCCAGGCTTATATGGCGGAGACTTCTGCACCAGCAACAACCCCTTCATCCAGAATGGGCTGCCCTGGCCAAAAAGCAGTTGAAAGGCAAAAACCCAGAAGACCTGATATGGCATACTCCAGAAGGGATCTCCATAAAACCCTTATATTCTAGCAGGGATACCAATGACTTACCTGAAGAACTTCCAGGAGTGAAGCCATTCACACGTGGACCATATCCCACCATGTATACCTTTAGACCCTGGACCATCCGCCAGTATGCTGGTTTTAGTACTGTGGAAGAAAGCAATAAGTTCTATAAAGACAATATTAAGGGTGAGGTTTTTATGCAAAACATTATATTTATGATCAACCATACATTTCCTGTTCCTGGCTTCTTTTGAAGGGAGACTGGTTGATCTCTGTAAAAATGATAGTCACTTTATAATTTTGTAGTTAAGACTATACTCTGAGAAATATGAATGTTTTTCAACTTCCGTCGTCAAAAAAATGAGTGATCCAGAATAGGGTGCTAAATTCTTGAATGCCGATAACAGTTACATACATGTTACGTAAAAAGGAATTAGTTAAACTCATATGACATGAGAGACATTGGCTTTTTCTTTTTTTTCAACGTTTATTTATTTTTGGGACAGAGAGAGACAGAGCATGAACGGGGGAGGGGCAGAGAGGGAGGGAGACACAGAATCGGAAACAGGCTCCAGGCTCCGAGCCATCAGCCCAGAGCCTGACGTGGGGCTCGAACTCACGGACCGTGAGATCGTGACCTGGCTGAAGTTGGACGCCTAACCGACTGCGCCACCCAGGCGCCCCAGCATTGGCTTTTTCTTTGAGAAGCTTTTTTAAAATTAAAGTTTATTTCTTTTTATTTTAAATTTATTTTTATTTTTTTAGAAATAGAGAATGTGTGTGAGCAAGGGAGGGGCAGAGAAAGGGGAAGAGAGAATCCCAGGCAGGCTTCACACTCACTGCTAGTGCAGAGCCCAATGCGGGGCTTGAACTCACAAACCATGAGAATGTGACCTGAGCCCAAATCAACAGTCAAATGCCCAATGAACTGAATCACCCAGGCATCCCTCTTTGAGTTTTTACTTAACGTTGTTAGGATAGGAATTAAAGAGGAAATGGTTTAAATGGTTTAAAGAAAGTAATAAACAAATGATAATGTACAAATATATTTAGTGCAATCTGGCACTTAGGTCTCTAAAAATCATATTAACTACTATTTCTTTCTGATCTATATTAAAATTATATTGTTTGCTAAATTTGAGGATCTGTACATTTATATTGCAGATGGAGGATCTCATATTTAGTGTAAACTGTTTTTATTTTTTTGCATGGTGTTCATAATTCTGTTTTCCAGAATATTTGAATAGCCAAGACATCTTGTTATGACCATATTAAACACAAGAATAAAAATAAGTGAGCATACAAATACCAAGTTATGTTAACTATTTGTGAACAGCCAGATCTTTTCATGAGTCTTATAAAGTATTTTTACTGAGGGGCGCCTGGGTGACTCAGTTGGTTAAGTGTCCAACTCTGATTTCGGCTCAAGTCATGATCTCAGATTGTTGAGGTTGAGCCCTGAATCTGGCTCTGTGGTCACAGCTCAGAGTCCGTTTGGGATTCTCTCTCTCTCCGCCCTTACCCTGCTCATGTGCACATGTGCTCTCTCTCTAAAAACAAA